TTTATGAAGATATCAGATGCTCATGGTTCAGCTACGTTTCAGTCCAGTTCCTTTGTATGCTGCTCTAAGGTTCTGAAATAATAACGTTACGTTAACAGGAGGGTCTCGGTCTAGTTTTCATGTTCTGAGCTCCAAATGACGTTACCTTTGTGTTACAACTTATTCCAGCCTAATGACTAGTGTAATGGCTGTCTAAGGAAAGTAGCTCTGCTGAATAATGGCTCACACAAATGGATTGTATCAGCAACAGACCAGATAGGTCCAGAAGTAGGAATTAGTATGAGCCAGTTGCAACCACAATAAATCTTAAAATATATTTTTTTAAAGGGCATTTAAGGTGAAGATGGACAAAAATCAGCATCAGTTGCTTAGCATTTTAGGGTTTTGTTTTTGGGGTCAATCAAGTATATTTTAAATATTTGATGAGGCAATAAAATATAAGCCAAAAATAAAACAGTGATTAATTATAAAGCAAATCTTGTCCCTGCTGCCTGGTCTTGACTGGTACAAACAGATGCCGCTTAGGTGTCTCAGCCTTTGGCAACTGTCAAGACCCTTTGATGATGATGGCACAGCTTAACTAAAGTAGTGTACAAACAATGGCCTTTCAGGTAGCGCCTTGAACATCTAAGACATTTTTTCTTGGAAAAGCCCAGACCAGACTGACAGGATACCCCAATGAATCAGTGACAGAGGTTGCTCATTTATGTGAGCTGTTGGGCAGGGCAGATTTGAAAATGCGTACATGTGTGTGTGTGCATGCATGTGCATTCAGACACATGCAAACAAATGGATATTGACAGCTTGAACTTTCGGTGAGTGACAGAACTGGCAGCAGGGATTTGGCAATAGGTCTGTGTACATTTGGCTGTTAAATGGTCGGGGTTTCTTTGATGTAATGTCCAAATGATAGCTTTTTGTGGGGGGGGGGGGGGAGTCGTGATAAAATGCTGCCTGGGAGAAAACAGGAGCTGGAACTCTCTAGAAACATCTACCTGTAGCTCCCTCCCAGGATGTTGCAAACATCCTTACGAATGGGATTTGGGAATCCTTCCCAGACTGGAGCCTGCCATCCACACTCAGGTCCTGTGCTCCGGGACCTGAGCTTTTTTCCCACAGCGTCAAACAAACGCAAGACGTCTGCCAGTCTTTAAGGGTCCTGCATAATCAGACCACCCCCAGCTCCCACCGGCATTTTCCGCATCTCCAGATCTGCTCATTACCGTGGCTCATGCCAGCTCATTATTTAGAGGTGAAAAGGCGCGATCGTCAAGGCGACTGTGGCCCTGGCTAAGTGGACAGAGGGAGATGGTGGGCAGTTTGTACTCATTTGGGTCTGTATCCCTCCGGGACAGAATGGCACTGCTGGCCTGGGGCATTGTGGGTGCCGGAGTGTGTTCTGTGGGCTACAACACCGACCACAATAAAAGCAACACCCAGGGGAAGCAGAGCAAGGACTGAAAACAGCTGCAGACAGCAGCAATGGTGACATGCAGTAATGCCAGGTTATATGGTTTTGGGTCAGTCAGCTTTCAAGAGAGATTATAGAACATCTGTTCTATTTGATTATTTTTCTGTTTGCACTTCATCAGTTCAACAGTTATATTAGAAAAAAAGCATGTTAAACTGTATACCGCAAGGCAAATTTTTTACACCAGATTTCAAGAACTCAACCAAGTGCTGTTTTCCTTATTTTAGCTCTGCTGTGTGGTGCCGTATGACTAATGATGTGAAACAGACAAGCAGGGCGCAAATGTGATAATTATCCTTCTCAGTCGACAAGACAGCAACTTCTCAGTCACAATGAGAAAGAAAATGCTGTTATTAGAAAAGTGGGTCAATAGATTGGACATCTTTTGATTTTGTGTCTCAAGACAGTACTGGGGGCCGGGGGGGGTCTTGGCGATTTCTGGGGGTATTTCCTACAGCTTGATCCATAGGACACTCCTCTCAACCTAGACCTGACAAACAGGTGATATAGAATAATATCCCACCCACCAACATGGGTGTTAGAAGTGTGATTCGAGTCAAGGCTGTCATTTGTCCATCTCCGTCTGCTCACATGTTAGTTATGTACTGTTAGTGTCAGAATGAATAACTGAGGACACATCAGCACATGAACCACTCCCAGGGCTTCCCGATGGAATGGCTACATTATTATCCTGCTCCTACCATAAACCTTCTTGAAGACTGGTGGTTGGTGGCGTCATGGGCAGGAAGTACTGGTCCTGTTATGCGCCTGAAATGTTTACTGTAATGTGGATTATGTTTCAGATAGGAAACAGGCTCCGACGAGCAGAGAGCAGACGTGGGCCACCCACAGTGGGGAGGACAGGAGGTTTGAGTCTTGTTTACCTTGATGGAACTGGACTGGATTGGGTTTTGTGCTTGAAATCAAACTCTTGCGGACATGTGCGATTTGCTGGGGAACCTGAAGACTATACCTAGAGCTGCCAGCACCCATGCACAACCGCCCCCCCCCCCCCAATATAGGGAGCTACCTCAGTGCGTCACCTGCTCAAGGGGGGGCTGTGCTTACTCTGTCACATGTAGCGGGGCACTGAAAGGCATTCTGGGGGATTTAGACTGGCACCAGCGCTCTTGAGCAGCAAGAGCATTTCTGAGATTTTGGTAGCGGCTTCAGATGAAGGGTGCTACGATCGAGCAGCTTGGGGTGTGGGGCATGCTCATCTGGCTACGCCTCCTCCGGCTGGGAGCCATTGGGAACACTGAGGGCACTCTCTAAGAATGTGCTCACTAAAAATGTTGGTTTTATTCAGAAAATGTTAACATCTCTTTCCCTTTCCTTGTTCTTCCTGCTCATCAATGTGCTCAAATCTTCCTGAAGCCATTTTAATCCAGCCAGCTTTCCTGGCACGTCAAAAGTCTTACAGTAGGTCAGATTTAGTTCAGACTAAACTATTTTTTACCATACAAGCTTGGATGTGGACAATCATGTACGAACATGTATTTTCCATGTTTGTGTGTGGTTTTATCTACACAGGTATCTTGGAAAAAAATTAAAACATTATGTACCAGACTATTTATTCATCCTGTTCATTTTCCAACTGCTTCTCCAGTATGGGAGCCAAGACCCGTATGTTTATCTGTGGGTTTAGTGACGGTTTGATGTCCCCAGAAATGAAGTGGCTATTCATTTACAGCAATGGTCGCTGATTGCTGTGTGTGCTATTGCATGACATTGATCAATATGTGATGAATGTTGTTTCATATACATAACTTTTCGTAAGAAGGATACTCCTTCTCTTCCCGTGGCTGCACTGTGTACTACGGTGTTCTATACAACTGTATAGAAATTTTAATCAAATCAAATGCTATAAATAGATACAAGGGGACCCAAAACAGCAGAGCCCACTCCCTGGGCAGGGTTAGGGTTAATATGGGCATTCTGCTCCTTTCTTACTGCATTCTCTCCATTCGTTCAGGTGCAGAATGCGGCCTCAACAGCAGCCAGCGATCGTCCGCGTCGTCCACTGTTCTGTTGGGCAACACATGCAGGTCCTCTCACTGGCCTCTCTGCTAACCTTAACGCACAAGGATCCTCTGGAGATGGAATTAAGGCAACCTTTAACCCAAATCCTAAGCAACACAAGCCATGTATTACATCATTGTAATGGGCCAGGTCAGCACTGAAGCCCAGAAGCACAACATGGTCTGTCTTTGTCTGCCAGGCAAGTTGGACAGAGTAAGGACTTTTTAACACCATGGTTACTTTGGTTAATTTTTAATATGCTACAACCACCAAAGTACAGCCACACTGAATAAACCACTGTAGACAGCACTGGAATGTCTCTGCAGTTAATAGTTATTACCTACAAGAGTGTGGACTTGGCAGAATAAAGCAGGGTTGCCAATTTTTGGTCAGCAGTCTGCACACACATGCACACGCATTTACATGTATGTAACAGTTTTCTTACCTTGTAAATAGTCTGTAGGGTTTGCAAACGGCCCCAGTGCTTTTCATGTAGCTAATTATAGGTTCATAATGGAATAATACAGATTTGCCATAAAATTTCTTACATGAGCGTAGGAGTCAAAGTGTGCGTGTCGCACCAGATGCATGAGAGCCTGGAATAGTGGGTGGGGTTTGTTCACAGGGGCTGGTGGGCTTCTGGTGACCGCTGCCCTATTTGGGCCACCCCTGGAGTTCCAGGGCTGTTTGACCAGAAGGGAGGTGTAGATGGGAGGGGTCCAGGGAGTGTGTGCTGGGGGAGGAGCTGAGAGGGGTCTGCTAAGTGGTGTCCCAGCCATGCTTTTCATCTGATCCTTGGAAATGTGTTCTTGGATAGTGTGGGAGAGCTGCACAAGAATTCCAGATACATTCCGGCTGCATTCATGAATTGGTTATGCAATACGTAGCTAAGATCACAGCCTAGAGGGATGGCTCAGTGCAAAGTGTCAAAACGTATGCCTTAATTGTTTATGCTTAAAAGCAGTATAAAAAAGGAACTGAACTGCTTGAGTAGTATTTGCTTGTATTTCATTGGTTAATAATCCAAAATTATAGTGTTATATAAATGCATTTAGGACTGAACTGATTTATGAGATGTGTGGCATGAAATTCTGCAAAAAAAAAAAAAAAACAGTGAATGAGAGTGTCTCGCAGTGAATGAGAGTGTCTCGCAGTGAATGAGAGTGTCTCGCAGTGGTGTTGTTATGCATCCAGCTGTAAAAAACTAGAGCTGACAGGCACTCACAGGGCTGGGATTCTGCGTGCTTTCAGATTCTGGGAAATTGTCATGTGTGCCCCCCCCCCCCATTCAAATTTTCTAACCACCCAGGTGTGCCATCCAGCTGTTTCTGCCCCCCACTCCCACAGTGTAAATGCCTGGGCTTGTCCAGTGCGTTCCTCCCATGTTGCTGAGAGGCAGACACAACTGCAGGCAGAACCTGCCCCCCTGATGGACCGGTTCAAGGGCTGAAACAGCAGGTAAGCTATTCAGTAGCTGAGAAGAAGCTGGCCAAGTCAATCCCACTATAGGGACAAGCTGTTGTAACTTACATGACGATATATAACTTGATCTACTTTAATATCCAAACGTATACACAGAAGGCTGGGAAATGTCGGCTAGTTAATCTGAGTTTCAGAGGGAAAATGAAGTAGTGAAGGTGCAGTTTAAGAGGAATGCCGCTCCTTTTATTAAAGAAGCGCCTTTTTGGGTGTCTGAGCCTGGGTACTGGGACGGCAGTACATAGTAGAAGAAGCCTGAGCAGACAGCGGGTATTTTTAACAGCGAGATAAGCGAATGGGGCAGGCACAGAGAGGCGCTCATAAGCCACATGGCAACAGCAGGGGCAAGTCGTGGCAATGGTGGGGGATGCTAACAGGTTTTGATCTCCAGAGGATGAATCAGTTAGCAGACACCCTAGCCGCATTGCCGGAAACATCCTGGGAGGCCAACTAGCACGCTGCTGCTTGTGGGCATTGAAGCGGTTTGGATCAAAACATGCAACTATTTAACCTCTTTAACTGGAGATGGGGGGGGGGGGGCGTGGTGAGAGCTGTGTTACCCGACTCAGACTGCTTTCCATAAGTATCAGGTTAGATTGGGTCCCGGCCCTGTGGTACGAAGTCTGCCTGGCTGGCTAGAGTCCCGGCAGCGCCCAGAGTATCGCATGTCTGCAGTGGCGTGTTTACTGTGAGAAATTTCCCTCAGGTATGGGGCCACACGCTCCCGAGCCAACACGCTGACGTCATCACGGAGGGGACACATGCCTTTGAAGTGACAGCATCTGAGTGACATCCAAAGGGTGCCGATGAGTGATGATTTATGAATAGTATCAAAAAGCTCAGAATCCATCCCTGCCTTTCCTTGTTATACGTGTTGCATTGTTGCATAATGATCAGCAGCCTGGTTTCTGCTTCCCAGCAAAGCCAGTGCCAAACCGAAGGCTGTGTAATTCACATCAAACCAAAGTGCTACCCATTCAACTGAAAGCACTGGATAAATCAAGTGCAATGTGTCTGTTTTGCCTGAAATGCCTAAATTTCCCGAGCCTGATGTTGAATGCGTCACATTTCATAGTGACTATCCTTACTATAATCTCATTGTCCTACGTGAGAAATATGAGATTTATTGAATTATCAGTTTACGTTTTGTCACCCAAATTGCTTTTCATGTTTCAGTTTTATTGAAAGTCACGGCTTTCTATTAGGCACCGGTGTAAAGACCATAGAGAGGTGTCCGTCTGGTCATGTGACTGTGCAAAGACTCCCATGCTCCCCAGCACGTCTGCATATTTACCTTGTCACAGAAATCCCAATCCATGCATTTAGTCAAAAGTTAAACACATCCTTCTTTGGAGGCAACATTCCAGCTTGGATGTGACCAGAGGAGGCTCCCCCCCAGGGCACTGGCGGTGGCCTGGTGCCCCGGGCCCTCGGCTCAGCATAAGCTGTGACGGACTCTATGCACTCCTGCACTCCAAGTACAGACCTTCTGACACAGATGATATTTACTGATACCATGTGTGTGCCAGAGGACTAAATCTAAATGAGAGGATACCGATTCTTTTTCACTTATTATCCAATCATTCAAGTCATGGGAGGACTTAGGGACCACAGGGGACAGTTACATTTCCTGTCCAGTCGGGGCTGGACATTTGGCATCAAAAACTCCAGAATGAAAGCCTGCCAATCATTTCAGTGCCACTGACTTTGAGGCAGTCCCAGAATCTTCTGGGGTTTCCGAGTAATCATGCTGATTGAGCCGCGGTATGACACCAGGCAGGGTGTCCTTCTGTCTGACTGAAATCTCATTTGTTCAGTTCTAAGGAAGGTATTAGTGTAGTCATCTTTAGCAGCATGAGCAAAAATATCTACTAGTGTCGAAACACATGTAAAGAGTAACACAGGCCCAGTGAATGGATGCACAAAGCTTGTCTCATTGTTTTTTTTTATATCCTTGGGTTTCTAGGTTGTACTTCACATGACTTACCGGTGGTGAGGGAATGGTGACAGAATTTTATACTCTGCCAATTTCCTTCTTAGAGCCTGATGCTATAATGATATAATCAGCTGTAGATATTGTAAGACAGCTTTGGTATGTTAGTTTGGGTAACTGATGGATCACATGACAGAAACATGCGGAAAGAGAAGGAAGTGGCATGTGGGTCCAGGTTTTTATGCGACCAGAGGTCATGCCAGAATGTGGCTTTTCCTTCAGAGAGGCAGCTAGACGAAGCGATGAGAGGGCTGCTCCGTCTGGTGGCTGCCTGGATGGGAGAGTGACAGGTGGGGAAGCAGTGCTTCACTGTGCATCACTATGAGCAGTCAGGCTAGACCAGTAACTAGTGTCCTCCTCATCTGCCTAGATCAACAGGACTTCCTTCCAGGGCCACACAGCTAGGGGATGTGGAGATACCGGACTTTCTACTGCTGACTGCATAAAGCTCCCCCCCTCCCTGAGAGCTCACCGGGATGTGCGATACTCCCTGCACACCTCATGTCTTTATTCAACAAGGCTATGCTGGGATATTCATACCCTGTAACTCTCAACCAAGTACTGGGTTAGGTACAGCTGTGAGTCTTAGCCTAATTGGGCATAACTGGCTTATGCGAGCTGATGCTGGATGCGTGTTAGTCTCAGCATAGCTCTGCAGCTGGGTGTGTGGATTACAGCTCAAAAGCGCCCCCCGGAGGCCCATTTGAGAACATGATAGCATTTTTGCCTCTCAGTTTTGTTGCCAAGAAACATCCTTGTGTGTTCCATTAGAGCTGTGGCCCATGTTTGTACCACATCCTTGATTGGTTTCGTTCTGGTTTCTAAGCCATTGACCATTTTTCACCCATACTTCCTTCTGTCAGTCTTGAAGCCATTCAGGATCACATTCCATGTAAGTATATAATATACACTTACTACTCAAATAAATAGCTTTAAACTTTGACTGCCTATGGCTTTTGCACAGTACTGCATCTCTCAAAGCTGGCTCTTATTCTTTAAGAAATAACGCTGACATTTCTGTCCAAGGTTTACAACATAGGCGTGTTTTGAGGTGTTGAATCGGAATATCAGAGTAAATAATATGTAGCCTAACTGTGAATCCAAATTTGAATACCCCTGTAAATAGACCACAACCTATTGTATGACTTGCATGAATAAGAAGAAAAGGCAATATAACATTGTCCGTCCAGTATCTCTTACTATCACCTGCAGGCAGACTGGAAACTAGCCGGGGAGCCCAGCATCAGCAACACGGGCTAATCAATTAGCTTTAACTGGAGGAGGTGAGCTCCCTCTACTCAGCCATCGTCCTGTTAAACTCACTCCAGCTCGTTTAGTGATGATGTGCCAGAAGGAATCCCAGGAAACAAAGGGGCAGCCTGCCAGCTGCGGCCGCGGCTGTGATGACCTCACAGGAAGGAGCCTGGTTACCCCCCTCCCCCCGGCTGGTTCCCCACGTTCTCATCTGCCTTTAACGAAGCCGGGATGACGGACATTTCTGTCTTTTCCACCCGCACCCAGTGGCTCTCAGACAAGGTGAGGCACTGCAGCTCTGGGCAGGTGGATGTGGACATGTGTGTAAATATATGCAGCAGTGTAGGATGGAGATGGAGGTGGGGGCCAGGGTGAGGGTGAGGGTGGGGGTGGGGGCGGGAGGCATGTCATATGCTTCCTTATTATAGAACCCATCCTTGGAATGGCAGTCTGTCACCTACAAGCCACAAGTCACCGGTGTGGTCAGCAATAAGACAGCATGCCACGTTAGCCAAGCTGTCAGATTCATTTAGCACATGCTACCATTCCTGTTCTTCAGCAGCTAATAGCCCATCTACGGTTTTCCAGAGATACTGGTGGAGCACCCTCCTGGTGGAAAGAACCTTTAAATATAAGGGCTGGCTTTCCTTTTCGCAAAGAAGTGAAATAAGAAAGAACAAAAGAGAGAAAGGAGAGTTTTTTAAAAACAGATCAGTCTAGAAACTGATTAAATCTAAACTAAATCAAAATCACAGAAGAATCATTTCTCAAGTTTTGAATGAAGATCTGTTTTTATTAAACTTTAGGGGAAATGAGCTTAATTTCATTTAATAAAACATAACCTGGAAGCATGATTAGCCACATATGTTTATTCATCCATGTGAGTTAATGCTGTATTTGTATTTAATTTTGAGGGTTTCTTATGAAACAGCTATTATGTTTACTTCATCACGCTGACATTATTATTGGTTCATCCGTTTCAGGGGAATTGCTGTCAGCTGAATGGGCCCTGCAACCCACAAGTAAAACCTTCCACCCACAGCACCTATAAAGTCACACTATCAGACCACACCCTCCATAACAATGAAGTCATCACAAAAAATTCTAATTAAAATCAGAACCTGTTATTTGGGGTAAAACACAGATTGCATCAAAACTGAGTCATCATTAAACCATTATATGTTACAAGGGTCATAAAGAGGAACTATTAAACTGGCATGTATGTATTATTGGCCAGATGGGCAAAACACCATGGATAAATGTACTTTTATATTGCAATTCTGAAAATATCCTCAGGGTGGAGATAGAGAAATGTTAACGTATCACTTACATGATCGCGGCTTTTATCACCCTCATACGGGGTTCATAGTCAGTTATGATGGTATAAAATCGTCAATGATGTAGGGGTGATGCTCTGTGATAATGTAAGTTAGATGTGAGAGGCAAATTGCTTCTAACAACGCTGCTGTGATACAGACCGGTGCAGTTTCTAAAGAAGAATGCCTTAGAACACACAGGCATCTATTGGCACCCTTAGAAGAAAGACATAATCCCTGTGGGAGAGCCTGCCCACGTAACGGTGCCGTGGCATTATGGGCAAGTATCTGTATGTTTGGGTTCCAGAGTAGTGACTACGGTGCCTCTGTTTGGAGATGAAGGCGGGGAACTGCCTCTAATGTGCTACTAAGTAACTGTTACTAAGGGTATATGTGAGTCCACGTGTGTCATAGAAATTCAGACTGAATTATATTTAGTTATCGTAAACTCCACAGATGTAGGCTAGAAAATATGTTTTAATCTGAGGTGGAGTGCTTCCACCACGAGGTGTGGCTGCGTGGTTTTGCTGTGGGTGCTCCCGTGGGAGAGCCGCGCTGAGTCTGCAGTGTGCTTTCAGCTCTCAAAGGCGGCCGCTAACTGCACATCACAGGGCCTAGCAGGGAACAGGGCTCATTTTTCAAAGCGTTATTGTAAATGGGACTAGGTGGAGCCAAGCGGCTTTCCAACATGTCACTGAGGAACTTTTTTTTGGAGACTTCCCACACAATGAGGCCTGCAAAGATACTCACCAAGCTTTGATTTTTGGCAGGCAAAAGTGAGAAAGTCACATTTCTTTGACTATACAGTGCTTCCATTGAGCCACAAATTAGTTTTTAGATATCGGAATGATAGCGCAGATGGTGTCATGCAGAGCTGTTTCCTTTAGTTGTTATTCCAGAGACCTCTGAAGCAGCTATACCATATTTTTTTGTAACTGAAAAAAACTTTTTCCAACAGAAAAAAGAGCTGCATCCTTGTGTTCCCAGGGAAATGATGTTGAAGCCCTGATCTAACGATTAGTACACTGATTCATTTGTGATTGTCTCTGAATCACCAGTCAGTGATGTAACCAAACAAGTGGCCTTTTACAGGCCTGTTGTCCACTCTGGGGTACTGGGCAATCCACTTGGCTCCATTGTTCAGCCTCGAAAAGGGATCTGTTATTTATACCTTTAGTTTCTTCCTGCAAAATACTGAGAGACGTTTTACAGAGATTCTGGGAAAGATTCTGAAAAACAGCACATCCCTCAGTATACAAAACTTACGCTATTGTCATATTTTTCCATTTCAGGAAATTACAGGAATTTACTAAATTGTTCTTTGTGAAATTTTACACCTCATAAGAAAATTGTTCCAAAGCGTCATAAAAAAAACACACCTTCTCCACCAAGTAGCGCTCACTTTATTGGGGGTATGTTGCACATTTCTGGTTTTCAATTCTGGTTTTATTTTTTTTCCTTTTCATCCATTATAACGTTCCTTATTTATTACATATTTATTACATTGTTATGATTTTATCTCTATTACTATTTTTATTATAGCGGAGTTGACCACTTCCACTTCAAGTTAGCTTGTAGGAGATTTACTTACACAAAAATGATCTGAGGGCAGAAGGAAAAATTATTGGTTCAGAGAGATAACCGTTAAGATTGTAAAGGAACCGGGTCCAAGCAACTAGAGGAGGCGGAACCAAGATATCTGATTACCTTACATGTAAAAAATAAAAATCCTCCAGTGCCTGAATACTGTAAATGCTATCATCCTACCTCAACGTTGAAGGTTTTCTTGTGTACTACTAATCCCAGAATGCTCTCCTACAACCTTGCGTCCTGCTATACTACAATCGGATTGGTGTAGAGGCAGGCAGAGGCGGGTACCTTATGCACAATTCGCTGACAATGCTGTCAGCATGTTCGTTTACTACCACATAGGAACGCCCAAATCTTGCTTTCCTGTGTTACCACCCTCGAATTAATAAAATGGGCAGATACTAGCCGTAGTATGGGAGTAGCGTAAGAGTCGAGGTGGTTTTCTTTAAAGTTAAGAACGAGCTTGGTAAGTATAAGGTATAATATTAACTGTGTTAGACTCTGTATTTTTTCTCAAACGTTAACTGCCGTTGGTCCTTCAAATATTGGTTAGTTATTAGATGAATGTTACTCTAGTTGAACTGCAGGGAGCTTTAGGTATGCCAACTAGGTGTGTGTTTATTTGGTTATTAGTTATTACTAAGCTAGCTGTCTGCTAAGGTGGCGTTATGGCTGACTAAAGTAGACGGTGTCGAAGCATTTGATTGACCAATAAAACGCTCTCGCGCTTTAGTTATTCACTTACCCGGTTTGTTTCGTTAAGCTTTCTATCTCTCCTGATATACCGGCGTCTGCATTGCGAAAATTAATCAGTGTAATGCGCTGAGTGCACGATCTAGACGCAGAAATACCTGTTCGTGAACCAGAGGTACTCGCTCCAAATGAGCGGCATTTTTACTGGTTTAGCTCACAGAAAATGTGTTAAGTGTGACTAGTGGGCTTTGCGGCTGTTAATGACATGCTTCATGCTGACTTCCGTGAATTTAGGGCTGCATGAGTATTTCGCCTTTTGGCATGGCTTCATTATGCGCCCACTTGATGCTGGTTGTCTAGGAAAACCGAATGAGTTCGCTTTTCACGGCATTGTGCGATTATGCATAAATACATGCCTTCTGTTACCTAGGAGAATGCAGACAAGTATTTTAACGAAGTTCAGCTATCGCGTCCGTTAATTCTTATACCATGGTCAAGAATGAAATACAGAGAATATGATAAATGGGGGGGGGGGGGAGTGTATAGCAGCAGTAATCATTCAGGAAGACGTGCACTTTGTTTCTTTGTACCTCTTCAAATGTTGCATACACCACGTCTTCAATTTAATCAGGTTAATATATCATAAATATATATTAAAGATAAGATCAAAAATGCATTGGTTTTATGAAATTGAGCATGGTCTCTCAGAGCTTGCTCACACTGAAAGAGTTGCTCTGCTCCTGGCATGGTGAGATCCATCCGGACACTCCTTAAATTCCATCTCCATGACACAAACAGCCGCTCTGCAGATGCTGCAACACCACCAGGCTCACTCACTATCAGACTGATTCAGGAAGAGCATGGTGCTGTAAAAGGCCACGTTCAGATAGATTTTACCACTGTGGCCAACCGGGGATAGTCTTTCAGACAAAAATGACCTGGATAAAAATGTCTTCTGCCAGTGGTTCGAACTGCTGCTGCAGCCATTGCCATTTTGAAATATAATACAGGGTATTTTATAACGAGAAAAAAAGGAACTTATCTCAAGTTTGTGGTGATGGCCTGCAGTGGTGATGGCGCTGTGATCAGAGAGCTTCTAGCTGTCAGAGTGAACCTTCACTTCACGGCCTAAGCGACATAGCAGAAAATTCGGGGCTGATTAAAAGCTGCCCTCCTTTTTCCATGGCTGCTGTTCAGCCAAGCAGTGGTTTCTGTGTGCGTCTGGAACTCTCATCAGCTCTTCTGGGACGGCAAGTTTTTGTTTAATTCAGGAAAGTGTGGTTTGCAAATGGCCTGTTTTGGGAGATGTCCTGGGAGGGGTTCTACCCAGATAATCCTGGCCACTAATTTTGTCCCCTCCCCCCCTTCCTCTGTGATGTCAGTCTTACCCCTGTATTCAGCAGTCATTCCATCTTTGATGTCTTCGACTTAAGTGGAAGTTATGCTTCAAAAGTCTCTCCAGGGCTTCCCAAATGTAACCTTTGTGAAAAAAATGTGCAAGTATACCAATATATTAAAGTCCCAGTGCTTTGTGCAATGTCTGCTTTCTTCTACCCCCAATGTTTGGGGGGAAAACTCAATGGTTTCTACTGAATGGCTGACAAGAGTAGCCTGATCAATCACCTGTAAAGTGGGTGTGTCATATCTTTGTAGTGAAGGAGCATCATTCTTCCCGCACTGCGGATAGAACTCCAGTTGGATATGCAGACTGATTGCTTCATTCCTTAGGGTCCTTTATTTGGGTTCTTGAGATGGTGCTGGTATTGACCCTGGTACTGTGCTGTAATTGGATTGTGAAGCTTATGACCTATCAGAATCTTCACCATGTAGACAGGTGATATCCTGAATGGGACAACATTCATAAAACTCACATATACAGCATGTAGTAATGGCGATTTAGAGGTGCCAGCTCACCCAACAGCATGTTTTTGGATTACGGAAACTGTGGAATCTTGGGTTGACGCAAGGAGAACATGGAATGTCATTAAGTTTACAAAATGTAACAGAAGCCATGTTGTTTTTCTGTATTCTCATCTTTATGTCGATTTAATTGCCTCTTCCTGTGTCTTCATTGTGAATTAGGATTGGGCTGGGTCTCTTGTGAAAAGATGAAAGCAGTTTCTGAACAGGTGTGAAGTATTTGCTGAATATTAGCTTCAAGTGTCTTGTTCATGGATTGATTCTTGTAACAAAATAATGCATTTAGTTTTGCATATCTTGGTGGGCATATACACTCATCCTCATCAGCACAGTATTTTGAGGGGGTGTTAAATTGTGTGAGTAATGCTATCAATGTGTGTCAATCACCATCTATATAAAAAAATCCCTACTACACGCCTCAAGGTGAGTTTGTCAAACGCTGTGAAAAATGGGTGGCTTTGGTCTATGGTAGAGATGTAGTGTTTGCTGGAAATTTGGGCTGACAAGCATCCTGGAACAATTGGATGCAACACAAGCAAGGAGGTATTTGGTGAAATGAGTGCTGTGAGTCATCACACCTAAAATGACTCCAAATAACCCACAAAATAAGGACATTAATAATCATGAACTATATTCTGCTGTGCTCAGGCTAATCTTTACCCCGCATCGGGCTGTGCTTCCTGGATACCTGCTGTGCTAACCGGATACCTGCTGTGCTAACTCCCCACACCTTCCACATGCTAACTGACTGCACAGCTGAATGACCTGACAGCGGAGGGCTTTCTCACCACATTAATGTTTAAGTAAAAATCCTTTTCACGTTATTACAGAATAGCACATGTTGTCATGGGCAACGCCTGAGACCACTAAGTGCACTTAATAGGGTAGATGAATCTCTTTCTGCAGTCAGCCAGTCTGCGAGCTTCTACTTCCTGAGCATTTTATAGCCCCAGCTAATTTCTTCATTAGTGGCCATGCTGCCAGGATATTGTGCTTTAAAAACCTCCCCATACTAGGAAAATACATGTAGCTACTGTGTGAATTTGGCTGCAGGTATGAGACTGGGCACTGGGTAGGCTGTTTTGGCTCTCGTTGGAGGAACGGTACCTTTCCATGGCTTCAAAATGCTGATTACCGTTTTTAAAATCACTGGTAAACCATATGTTCAGGTTTTTTGCCTTTTGCATTGGGGGGGGGGGGGGTCTAGAAAAGTTTTGAATGAAAAGGTGTACTAGAAAAGTGTTATTAATCATGGTAGATCTATAATTGGGTATAAATGGCTCATACCCTATATCCATTCCTACTGGTGTCCACACCGACTTGCTGCATTATCATTCACTGCCTTTGATAACCTCTTTTTTTAATATGGCTCTCCTAAATAATACAAAAGTTTCTTCAGTTCTAATTTCTGGGAAATGGCTGCGCTTTATGTACAAAGTTCCCTGTGCTGGTTCTGGAAGCACAGAACATTCTGTAGTTCTTGGTATTGTCCCTCACCATTTGTGGGTCTTGGTTATCTGGCCTAGCGTTAATTCTCTGCATTAGGGAGTCATATGAGTGAGGGATTGGGGAAATGCCTTTTTAATTCTCATGTTGTATATGGTTTTCTCCTTGGTGCTCCTGTCTGCTTGCCTTACATTGGAGCTGCAGTGAATCCTGTCACCTGCCTTTAACTTGCATAAAGTTCTGTTATGAAACATCTAGATATCTTTGTTAAATGGAGGCTCTGCTTTAAGGGAGGGCAGGAGGGTTTTGCTTATTTAGCAAAGGAGGAATGCAGCTGAACAAATAGCCAATCAACAAATGTAATATATTTTAGGTATTTTAGGTGTGTTGTCAATGGGTCGGGCAGAAGACATTGAATTAGGGCTGTCATAATCGATTATATCAACAATCAAGTATTCTACTGATTTAATGTGATGATTCATTGTTTACATATCGATATAGTATAATATAAAATAAAGATTGCCATTAGCGTAAGGCAGGAACCAACCAACCATTGCTGGGTGCACACTCGGTCACACACACGGTCAATTTAGGCTTGCTGATTCATTTAAGTTACATATTTTCGGACAATAGATGGAAACCGGATAGTCTGCCAAAAAGCGATCTTCCTTCCGCCATATTGGCAAGTAATCATGAAGGAGACTTTATCGATTCTTGTAAATAATCAAGTAATTAAGTTTAATCGAGTAATCGTGACAGTTCTACATTGAATCAATAAAGGAAGTTCATATCGAATGACAGATTTTCATTAAGTTTCTTAATTTGTCATTGTCTAGTTTGATCTCCCTGTTCAAACACACCTGGTAATTAGCTGATTTAAGATGTGTTTGAGAAGGAAAACCTGCAAACCTGCCCTCCAGGACCGGAATCGGGGAACCCTGGACTTCTACTTACAGTATAACTAGTATTTCATTGATTTTTCGGAGAGATGTGTATGCAAACGGAAATGGAGATGTGACCTACACACAGACATATGAGGTATGAGCATCATGAGCAGTAACGAATGGGCTCATGCTCTGCAGCAGTTGGGTATCATCACTCCAAAGGAGAAAGCAAAACTGAACTAAAGCATAACAAACAGGCAAACAAAATGGGCCGGTGGTGGGTGTGTAGTGTCAGTTTCCAAGCATTTAATGAAACTATGGTGAAGTAAGAGGGGAGGGGGCGTTATCGTAATCCAAGAATGTTGCCCATTTCCTGCATTTGGGGAGCCCTGGGCTAGCAAGCTGAGGGGTCGTCTGCCTGGTGAACCATTCTTCACAGTAGGACGTGTCATGTGTTATGGACCACACTGACGTATGGAGATCAAACCTACACCGCCAGCAGCAGTCTGCACTGAAAACATTACATTCAGTGGACTGTACTGGTCCTGGTGCATTTAACCGTCCCAATCAGGACATGATGTCTTCAGAAATACACAGCACTTGGAGGGTTTCTCCAAGCATCATTCATGGCTCTGTCATTTACAGAGAGCTGATATATTACCAGTGAATGTGCCTCTTGTTTTTGTAGAAACTCCTGCAGGTCTTTTCTTTTCATTTGGAAAATGTTATCGGAAGTTGTTTTTTTTCCCCTTCAGTTTTGAGTTTTCCTTCAAATCAAACACACAAAAACCAGCCTTGTGATTTTGGCATCTAGTTGGCGATGGTTTTTAATGCAGTATTTTTGGAACAGGGGGAGGGCCCCAGTATTCTGAGTTTTCTAAACCCTGTTGGCGATCGATATACACAAGTGTGAGCCTTCGCTCTTGTCTCATTGGGAACCTGATAAGAACATAAGAAGTTTACAAACAAGAGGAGGCCACTCGGCCCATCAAGCTTGTTTGGGGAGAACTCAACTAATAGCTCAGAGTTGTTCAAATATTATCTAGCTCTGATTTAGAGGAACCCAGGGTTTTAGGTTGCACTGCACTAACAGGCGCTGGTCCCCAGGAAACTGTGCGACGCCTCAGGACTCGTTAGCATGGCGCTGCCCTTCTCGAAGGACCTGGAGAAGTACAAGGACGTCAACGAGGATGAGCTCCTGAACAAGCTGACTGAGGAGGAGCTTAAGCAGCTGGAATGTGCTCTGGAGGAACTGGACCCAGAGGTGGGTGAGCAGATGAGTTAAGGTGCTTACATCCCTGCTAAGGTCAGGTTCAGAATTGCTGTGTGAGTGGGGGGGGGGGGTACTTTTTGTTTTTACACCCACCAGGTAAGAGAGGTCATTCTTTCTTTGCAGTGCTAAATCATTGTGTCTGCCCGGTGTGTGAACATAACCTGACCTGCATGTACATTGTGTCTAAAGTTTTTTGCAACTGTTGCACTCCTGTCTTTTGTTTAACTTCCATTTCTGTCATTACCCAGAATGCACTGCTGCCAGCAGGCATGCGTCAGAAGAGCCAGACCAGCAAGGCTGCCACCGGCCCCTTGGACAGGGAACGCCTGCTGAGCTTCCTGGAGAAGGAGGCGATGGAGCACCAGGACCGGGAAGACGTAGTTCCGTTTAAGGGCGAGAAGAAAGGTGTGTATGAGCTTGCTTCAGTTAGCCTCCCTTCTCCTGATTTGGGTTCCTCGGTTCAACACGTTTATGGAGCAGGACCTGGGTTGATGGTGGTGATCAGCGTTGAAGAGGACAAGGTGTCACCTCTGGGGTGGTGTTTGCTGGGGATCCTGCAGTTGCCCTGTTCCCACTGCTTGGGGGAGCCGTTTGGTCATGGGTGTGTTGAGAACATAAACACAGAGTGAATTATTACGTTTATGTGCATACACTTGTGTGGAAGGTGTATAATTCTGCTAGATGTTAGCCTTTTTAGATTGACTATCCTGGGTGCCTTGTGTGTCGCTGCACCCAGCAGAAGACATTTTGTAAGGCATCTTGTTACATTGGTTTGTATGTGGTGTAAATGGTATAATTTCATATGGGCAGGTTTTAAGTCTCTTTCAACATCTTTCCATTGTCACCAAGGGCCTTGTTTTCTATCCTTTGGAGGTGTAGGTGATCTGTTGTGTACGTCCTGGTTCTGATTATCATGTGCTAATCTCAGCTTCATCTCTGTAGAGAGCTCTCAGCATTATGTGGATGGAGTAAATGTATAACTTCCTAAAATCAAAAAAAATAAATAAATCTGTGTGTGCTACTGCGTACCTTTATTACATTTTACACAACTAGTTTCTAAGGTGTAGAAGTGTGGGCCTCTGATGGAACAGCAAAAAAAGAAAAACCTAAAAGTTTTAATGAGTGTCACAGTGCCCTCGCTTTGCTGCGATGTTGGGTTCTCCGCCTCACTTCCTGGGGGCCGCTGAAGGACTTGGAGGACGGCCATGCTGAGTGTTTGTGTTGCCGCGGCACTGCAGGGGAATGGAGGAAGTGTAGAGAACAGCAGGTTGGCTTGGACGGGCAGCTATCGCCATGGAGACCGCCCACGTCCGCCCCTGCAGGATGCTTTTCGAGTCCTTGTGCTGCGATTCAGAGCCATGAGGGCCTCTGTGTGTGTGTGTGCAGAGGACAAATACAGGCCTGCAGGTTTCTGTTGAGGCATGGAGTGCAGTGTCATATTTCTTGCATCATGACTTATTTATTTAAAATCAAAAGCTGCACTATTCAGGGCACATGTGTTGAGTTTCTGCATGACTGGCCTGCTGTGATCTGGGGCCTGGATTATTTCAGCCTCGTCTGGTTCCCTCTGTCTGTAGAATTGAACTCCCTTTCCTGGGTGGTTCTTCCACATCCGCATCTCCTTGGCAATTCCAAATGATCTGGAGTCAGCTGACTTTTTTTCCCTTGTATCAAATTGTGGAGTTTTGCTTCCTCACTGCTTTCATCGTCTGGCTTTTCTTAACTATTCATTTACACTGTTGTCACCCCGAACTGTGGTATGTCAGTAGTTCAGGTTCAGAGAGTAACCAACCCATTTGAGTATAAAGAGTGACAGCCACAGAGTACACAACTGGTTGGTCGAAACAAATATCGGTCTGGACTTTTACTCTCTGGACCTGAATTCTCAACCTCTGGTCAGAAAGTCCCACTGTTTGATTCATTAAGGAGAATCCTTTATTCGGAAAGGCGCTATTTAGAAATCAGTTCATTTGAATTTGGAAATCCTCTTTCAGGAAGTTTCTGGTGTAAGATTTAAAGACTTGTGGTGTTAATGCAGTCATTAAAGCTGCAATTTGTGGTGTGTTCAGACATATCCTTTCAAAGTCTTGGATGCATTGGTATTGGCTGCTTCAGGCTTTCATGTCAACAATTGTTTCTTGTCCCTAGGAAAGTCCACCCTGCATTGTTATTGCCGTTTGGTCTTGACAGAGCGGAAATTGTGCTTGTTGTGTAATTGTGTTTGGGTCTGTTTGCTCAGCATCTATACTTGGGCTGTGCGATATGACCAAAACCTTACTTCCCGATAAGTCATCCCTTATCCTGATAATGCTATATAACACGGCTGCACCTCGTATTTATTAATTTTTTTTTCTACAGATCAGCTGCGGTAGGAATTGGACAAAAATCTGCAAATAAAAAGGAGTGAGGTGACAAATGTAACGCGATCCACAAAAACCCTTTTCACGTGTACAAGTGTATATTTGTGAATAAGATTTTACACAACACAATTAGAAATACATATTTGTGGATGTACAGTGGTAACTCGGTTCTCGAACTCATTAGAACTCGAATTTCTTAAAAGTCGAACCAACCAGTTCGAAAAAAAATTACTCTATATGAATCTCAGAAGTCAAACCGTGAACACCGACCTAGGATAACTTGTACACGCGGGGAAATGAGTCACGCAGCACGTCTCTCAGCGGAAACAAAGGGTAACACTTCAGTCTCAGCCTCACATTCGCTGTGATAGCATCGTGCATGTTTACACTAGCTGAATATATATATTTAGACAGTAAAAATACATTTAGACAATGATAGACAGTAACAGTAATTATTATATTATAAAATACATTTAAAAATGCATTTTATGTTGTTGTTGTTGGATTACACATGGGGTTAACGAGGGGGCGTGGCACACGGAAGGAGCAGACGATCGGGGCAGGACACATTTTTTTTAACTTTACACATTGTTTGGATACATTTATTTTCTTACTTTACAAATTACTGTTTTGATAAATATGCTTAGATGTGTTTAGTACAGTATATGCTCTTCTTGTTTTATCCAGTTCATTTTGTGTTTAAATGCTAAAAAAAAAAAAAAAAAACATTTAGGTGTAATTTTTTGGGGCCGGGAACCAATTAATTGGTTTTCCATTATTTCTTATGGGGAAAATTCGATCACAACTCGAACTTTTTAGGTTTCAATCCGGAGTTCTGAACGGATGAAATTCGAGTTCTGAGGTACCACTGTATTTGATAGTTTTTTTTTCTACAGATCAGGTGCCGTATACAGAGCCCCTAAGAGGTCTGTACTGAAACATTCCAGAAGGCAGTGTAGAGTCCAAAACTGCGGTCAAGTTAGCTTTATATTCTGTTTTCGGGCTGTAATCTTTCCATGTTTGTGATATGTTTCAGTTTTTTGTATGTGCACTTCACGTTCAATAGCCCAGCTGTCTTGCTTAAAGTCACTGGCGCTGAACGGACACAGTGCAATTATTAATAAACAAGTATAAAACACATAATATTAAAGTTACATGGTGTATAATGCAAATAGCAAATCGGCAAGTGGAGTGGGATAGCGAGTGAACACAACCATTTCAAAGTAGTTTTTTCCCACCCAAACCTCTTATGGGCTCTGTATGATCTGGAGAAATCAATAGGAGGGAAGTCAAATATACAGCGATCCACAAATAGACAGGACGTGATCCACAAATGTGCAAAACATGCTCCTCTCTTTTTGTGGATATGATTTTACACAACACAAGTAAAATAATACATATTTGTGGATTGTCTTTTAATATGCATAATATGAAACGATAGACATTTTTATTTCATCTGACATATATCGTTATATCGCACAGCCCTAATCTACACATCATATTTCGACAACAGATGTAGACGTTAATCTGGGGACTTGAAGCTGAAATGATTAAATCCTAGATGTCAACATTGTAAATGGCAAGGCGAAGATAATTATATAATCCTATACGTGTGATGCAGTGACTTAGTGACGCAGTGACACTGGCACTGCTTCCACACAAACACATGGCTGGGGGTTTCAGCCTCTGCTCTGTGTGTGTGGAGTTTGTGCTTCATTCTTATAGTTCTGTGGGTGAAAATACTTTGTTTATGAGAGAGAGGTCAGAGGAGACTGACCGGACTCGTTAAAGCTAACAGGAAGGAGAGTGGAGTACAGAATGACTTCTCTGAATACACCACTCATCTGCCCTTCAAATGGACAGTGACCTGGAGAAGTGGGTATGGATGTGAACCTTTTCTACAAATGCTTTTATATGCATTATAAACCTGCATTCTTGCTCTCAGCACAGATACTCTTTTTCCATTTGTGTGAACTTTCCCTCTGGGAGGGAGACCCATAGTCCCTGGTGGAGACTGAAGTGCCACAGGTGCCTGCATAAGTCTGCATACTGCAGCAAAGGAGCATGAAGTGCACAGATACAAACATATGGTGATGCTCAAGTGTGAAGACAGTACACATAGTGCACAAATAAGGGATTTGTGCAAAATATCAAAGGGAAATATGCATATAATGTGTGTGTAGTTGTACACAGCTGTGTAGGGGTCATGGCTGTTGGGGTCCATGCTTTTTGTATTTTTCCCTGGCCTACTGAGATCTGTGACCTGGGTTATTTACGTGCAGGGTGGCCTGATTTCTGAATGCTGTCCTGCTGTGTTCTGTAGGTGCGGTGCATTGGGGTGGGGTGGGGGGTGTGAGGCAGTGTACTGCCTGCTGACAGCGGACAGGAGGGGATCCCCAGAATCACTCCTTAGTACATTATGGTGGAATGTACCAGTGGCTAAAGGTTCTCCAAGAGGGGGCGCCATAGAGCTGATGGGCAAAGGTCATGGGTGTGTTGAGAACATAAACATAAAGGATCTCCAGGTTCCCTCATCCATCATGCCCATGCTATTGGCCCCCTTATCCTTCAGTAACAGTGGGGTGGTCCCTGGACTCTTCCTGTTTAATGCTCAGTGTTGATAGTATTACCAGTGATAGCGTCTGTTAGAGTGGAACAGTGCTGTTTATGGGGAGACTAACTGAATTACAGGAAGTGTGGGTGTGTGTGTTTGCGAGACATTTTTCTGCTTTGTTTTGACAAGGAAACAAAGAAGCATTGAACTGTAAATAGTTTTACTGAGTTTTAAAAACGTTTTGTGGGATATAAAGGTAAATACTGCAGCGGTAAATGCAGCCTGCATATTTACTGTCCTCGTTATAGTTAAGGCTTGTTTTCTGTCCCCCTGAGACATGGGCCCTCCAGTCCACCTCCATCTTGCCCCCCCCCCTCCCCCCCCTCATTGCACTAACACACTTGCGCTGTGAGAGTGTGTAATCCTGCAGCTCACGCTTATCCACGTGCATGTGGGTGCTGGGTGTGAGCTCAGTGCACTGACACCAAATGCCCCCAGCTCTCTGAGTCGTCGTCCCCAGGCGCTGCTGCCATGTGACTGGTTCAAACCCGGCCTCAGCACGTCTGTGGGTCCTTGAGCAAGGCCCTTAACCCCCAGCTCCTTGGTCGCCGCTACGGGTGGCTGCCCTTCATAGATAGGTTACTCTACAAAGAGCAAGTTGAGGGAGGCGTAAAGACAATTTCCCCATGGGGATTAATAAAAGTATCATTATCATTATTATTTGTGCACATTGGCTGGTATATTTCATGTCAAAACAAAAAACATTCTGTCCCCTGACCATGATGATTACTGTAGCCTGGTCTGGCTGGTACTAGGTGGTAGTGATTTATTACCTGTGATTGGGTTTTCTAATTTCAGACCATTTTCTAACATGTGCGTGCGAGCGAATACCCACCTATATCACAGTGGGTTCCATTTAGTGGATGTGGATTTATATGAATGGAGGGATGTTTTTGTTGTTTATAACCACTGTCCCCTTTTTAGGTGTGTAAATGTGCTCTGGTTGTCCCTGAACGCTGCAGCTTGCTGTAAACGCCTCGAGGTCTGTTGTGTTCTCTTTCCAGGCAAAGTTTGGGTGCCGAAGCAGAAGCCAGTTGAAGCTCACCAGGAGGACACGACCACACTGGACCCAGAACTGGAAGAAGCCCTTTCGGGGGCCACAAACACGGAGCTGTGCGACCTGGCGGGTGAGTGGGGGCAGCGGCCTTCAGGACACCGCCTGCCGCCTCTGTAATCCAGCCCAGCCGCAACCGCCTGCTCCCTTTCCTATGACACACAGTTGAGCGGATGCTTGGGCTCTTGGCTGCGTTTACTGTTACACTTTAGATTTAATTATTGAATAATAATAGGCAGGCAGATGCTGGGTAATTTAGGTGGATGCTTGAGTTGCTGGATCTTTGTTTCCCAGTGTGTGTTAGTGCAATTTCACCGTTTATCTATGTACTGTTGTCTGAAGTTCCACTTCTCACCACCTCATTTAAAAATCTTAAGGTTCTTAAAGTCAGAGGCACATTGTCCCCTCTCTCCAGCTATTCTTGGAGTACATACCCTGGTGACTAATGCACAGAGCTACGATGGCACCTGCAGTAAAGGAGGCTACAGCAGTGAGTACAGCTGTCTCAGGGGCTTGCTGCTGTGTCACGCCTAATGGTATCCCTGTGGCTCAGCTGCAATCATGGACTCCCCTTCCTGCCTGTCGGGGCTTTGCAGATGTCATCAAGGGGGAGACGGTGAAGCCGGTCTTCGACGAGCCGCCCAACCCCACCAACGTGGAGGAGACCCTGCAGAGGATCAAGGCCAACGACCCAACTCTGAAGGAGGTCAACTTGAACAACCTCAAGGTGCACCTCCCTGTTGTACTAGGCCGGAACCAAGACTGTCACCATGGCACCTGCTCACGTTTGAGTTGTAGTGGAGTCTGACTACTGTGCTTCTGTCCTCCAGAACATTCCCATCCCGACACTGAAGGACTTTGCCAAAGCCATGGAAAAGAACACTCACGTGAAGAAGTTCAGCCTTGCGGCAACTCGGAGCAACGATCCCATTGCTGTGGTGAGGCCTCTCAGATGGTGACCGTGTTGGGCGCCCTGGGGGTGGCGTGCCTGAGTGCGACTGAGGCAGCTTCTCTGCAGGCCTTTGCTGACATGCTGAGGAGCAACAAGACCCTGAAGAGTCTGAACCTGGAGTCCAACTTCATCACCAGTGCTGGTGTTCAGGCCCTGGTGGAGGCGCTGCGGGATAACGACACGCTGACAGAAATCAAGATCGACAATCAGGTAGGGGCTGCGTGAGCCTGCTGCAGTGACAGGCCATCTGGGCCGGTGGCACCCGGCCGCCCAAATCCATCGATTTCCTTTTGTCCCTAATCCTTAGCGACAGCAGTTGGGGACCAAGGTGGAGATGGAAATTGCCAAGATGCTGGAGAGCAACCATAGCATCACCAAGTTCGGCTACCATTTCACCCAGCAGGGCCCAAGGGCGCGGGCAGCGGCTGCTGTCACGAAGAACAATGATCTAGGTAGGAGGCCCACGGCCATCCTCCTCTCCCTCTCCTTCTGGTCTCTCCAGCCTTGTACCTTCCAAATGAGTGTCACCGTGTCTCTCCCGCCCTGACGCCTCCCTGTTTGAGGCTTGCTGTGCTGCTGTTCCCACACTTGTTTCCCGTGCCATCAGCTGTCGTCCTCCTTCTCCCCAATCCTCTCCCCTTCCTCTGTTGGTGTGTTTCCACCATGTTCATGGATTTGTGGATGGTGTACCATCTAGCAGCATGCCCCTAGTAGAGCACTTGGGGGTCTGCTCAGCGTGTGAAATAATCATCGTCACTTTTTAGAAACGCTGTTTCACTGTAGGCTGTGGCGTTGCACGGTTACTCCATCATGATCCGGGTGTACAGGGAGGGTGTGTCCCTCGTGTTTTGCGAACTCTGTTGCGTTCCCCCTTTTCACACAGTTCGCCGAAAGCGGGTGGAAGGCGACGCGTAGATCTTCGGGCGGCTCATCCGTGTCCCGCCCGGCTGTGGACTCCGCCACCTCCCACTATCCTGCAGTCATGTGCCAAACTTCAAGGCGTGACCTCCTTAACCCAGGAACAAGGGGACTGACTGGAATCCGCCCTCTTTCATTCTCGCTCCTCCTGTCATAGTTCACTCCTGTAGTTTCGTCTCTCTTTCTCTTGCCCATGCGTGTATCACCTGCGGCCATCTGCAGGGGGAGCTGCTTGTAGGGCAGGACCTGGGGGAGGGACTTCATCTGGAGGGCAGTTCTGTCATTTTATTTCTTTGAAATAGTTTTTAATATTGTGAAGCTGAGGCCCAACAAAAGGCCAGGTTATGAACCCAAGGAGTGTATGTGTGCGTGCCTGTGTGTGTATGTGTGTTCTGTGTGAGAGAGAACTGATGTCATTCCATCAACTTACTCATTATACTTGGGACACTAATCTCCTTCTGCAACTTTTCCATCTGCCTGACTGTGCTCTTTGACTGTAGCTGTGTGTTTGCCTGTGCTTCTGCTGGTTGGGCATTTTATTGAATTAATTGTGAAAATCATATGGAACTGATCTCTGCAACGGCTGTTAAATGACCCCACCTGCGGGTCCCGGGACCTACGAAGCCATGTGTTCACCCCCCCTGCGGGCCCCGGGACCTTGGAAGCCGTGTGTTCACCCCGCCTGCGGGCCCCGGGACCTACGAAGCCATGTGTTCACCCTGCCTGCGGGCCCCGGGACCTTGGAAGCCATGTGTTCACCAAGCCTGCAAGCACAGGCCTTTGGATTCTGTAGCGTGGTAGCTTGAGCTTCTGCAGACATTAATCTGCTTGGTTCTGGTTCTCTGGTGCAGCGGCACCGCTCAAGGCGACCCTCAGACACGTTCATAGGGCACCATGCGGGCAGCCAAAAAGCTTATGGACCAAGTAGCATGAGTATTAATTTAAAAGGAAGAAGTGTCAGACCATCCAACTATCTAGTTCTATGCTATAGATGACCATTCCGAGGATGCTCGTCATTGCCTCTGTCTCTTTAACGTGCTGAGTATCTTGCATGCAGTGAGTGTTCCTCCCCTGTCTGTGTGGGTGTTTTCTCACCAAGCCTGTGCAAGGCGAGAGCTCCGAAACCTGCTACACACAAAAAGAAATAAAAAATCCTCCAAGCTGCTGTTTCTCTAGAGTGGTGTTTCCCAGTGTGGTCCTTGGGGGCCCACAGCCTGCCAGCCAGCTCCCTCCCAGCTGGACTGTCTGATGGGAGCAGGAAGATGGACTGACTGTGGGTCCCCGAGGACCAAATTGGGAAACGCTGGTCTACAGAATGTAAATTTTGAAGCAAAATAAATGCGGGCATATTCTGAACGGTTCCACTCATCTGGTGGCTTCGCATCGGCGCGCTGTAAGGATGCATGGGGGTGTTTATGTGCCCTAAATGTGAAAACCCAGACCGTCAAACCCAGACCGTCAGACATTGCCCCAAGCTGCTGCCTCCAATGTCCGTAAAACACTGGTGTGGAAATGGCTTCTGCGTACCTCTGACCTGTTTTTATTTTTATTTTTTTTAACCAATTCCCAGACCTTTTCGTGAATTGTAAAATGTTCTTTTAAGATGTTTTATAGTTTTGTTAATAAACCATCTTTCTCTCAAACCATGCATGTGTGATGTGGACTCGCTGAAAGGTGTGTTCTGTGTTTCGTGGAGCACCTTCGGTAAAGCGTGCGGCTCCGTGACAGTCAGGCGGCGGGGTGTCCCCTGTGACAGTCAGGCGGCGGGGTGTCCCCTGTGACAGTCAGGCGGCGGGGTGTCCCCTCCTCTCACATGTCTTTCAGACCCACCTGGGATAGCGACACTAGTGGTGTGATGCTCACATGATGATGTATCAGCTTAAAGCAGTGCTTCTCAGCCTGGGCTGGGAGGGAGCAAAAACATGGACTGCCTGGGGGGGCCGGAGGACCGGGTAGAGAAAGATTGCATTGGACGGCCATACACACACACACACTTTTTGAGGGTAAAGAGAATATTTAGTGGTACATTAACACACTAATTAAAAACACACAGCTTCCTTATTCATATTAAGTCAGCATCCTAGCGAGAAATGCATGTTAGTGGCTGTTTCCAGCAGTGTGGTGATGAGGAAATTTGGGCGTCAGTTTGTGGCTTGGGGACAAATGGACCTCGTCGTCTGTCTGGGGTGTGCTGCTGTTTGGTCAGATTAGTGTGTGAAGGAATCCCTCAGCTTCTTTGCAGGACGTCTGGGCTGCGTGTCACTAGGGCGCCCCCTCCTGTCGATGCATGCGCCTGCAGGGTGACATCACAGTGCCAGGCTCTCCGCTGCTCTGTGTGCTGCTGTTTTGGGGAAAAAACAGTTTCATTTTTACAAGGGGAAAAATGACCTGTTTCTACTTCAATTCATTTTTATATAGCACCTTTCAAAGCAGAGTCGTCCTGAGGTGCTTTACATGGGTTTGTTATGATACATTAACATCATTAAAACAGAATAATACAGAAATGGCAAAGAAATCATAACAGCGAGGGAGGAGAGGAACCAAAAACTCCCATGTAGGGAGAAAAAAAACTTCTGGGGGTCCAAGGTCAGCTGGCTGCCCAACAAACCACCCCCCGCCCCCCCCCCCCCCCCGTCATGCTAACATTAAAGGAAAAAGAAAAGGGTGGACTGAAAGTATGTGTATGTTGTGATTAAGGTCAAGCCAAAGTCCATCAATGAGTCAGTACTCCAGGCCGACCTGTGCAGGGTGGCGGATTGAGGGCCTCGCCCATGATGTCACCGGCCTGTGTAGGGTGGCGGATTGAGGGCCTCGCCCACGATGTCACTGTTCGTAAGTTACATCCATGATGTCACCCCTCCAATGGACTGACCCAGGACTCCAGCTCAGATGGTGCCCACATTGAGCACCATCTGGACTTATGCGAAGGAAGATGGAGAACATGCATTTCATTTGAGAACCTCATCCAAAAAAATAAAAAAATCCCACAGCATATTGCACTAGTAAAGATAAACCTGGTGTCCTTGGCTAGTTTTCTGCTAAACTGGCTAGCAGACACACACCCAAATGTCATACAAGTTAAATGGCACCTACCTACACGATGGATGTTAGTGCATGATTAGACGGACCAACATCGTCCTTGTGATGTAATGGTTTCTCCTACTGCCATGGTGGTGCAGCGTGTGCTTATGTGAGGATGCTGGACTGCTTTTCCTCTTCTGATGTCAGCGTGGACAGCCTGGAGCTCCGTGTTTTACCGACTGCGTGCCCACGTGTGCCCAGCCTCCCTGGCCATCTGAAGCACCTTTGGAAATGATCTGGCGCTTCTCCGGTGAGTTCCGTCTTCAGTAAGTGTGCGACAGCTTGGCTAAATGCTCAGGAATTAAAACCCTATGTTTGAGTTGCTGTGCAAAACACAGACAGAACCTGGAGGCGCCACGCAAACTCCCATGAGGGAAGGTGCAAGGTAACCATGCAATCACTGAACTGCCCACATGAAAATATTAAAATGCTATTGACTTAAAAAGAAAAAACAGCAACGCTTTACATTAACATTTCATAATGCATTTATAATACATCTGCAGTTACCCTTCATAATGCATTCGTAGAACATTCATAAACAAAATGCAAGTATACCTTATTATCCTAACATGCCTTAACAGCTTTAGTATATATTAACAAACATATAACGCACATTATAATTGTATAATCAAATTATGTTTGTTATTAATGTATATTAAAGCTGTTAAGGTATACTTGCTGATTATGAATGTTCTACGAATGCATTATAAAGGCATTATGCAGTTAATATTAAGTGTTACTAAGAAAACTGCAATTTGGATTAGGTGTGTTGATACAGATATCAGCAGAAAGAGTACGGCTCATTTCAGCAAGTAAAGAGAGTGCAAACAGTCAGAAACACTCTGTCCCTGGGCAAACCTCCATTAGCGTTTGTGTGCCATGCTATACGAGGCAGCTGGTGATGTGCTGGTTCGGGACAGGGGTTTCAAATCACAAGGTTGTTGGTTCGAGTCCAGGAAGGATCACGCCATAGTGTGAGTAAGATCCTTACCCTGAGCTCCTTCCCTATAATACGCTTTTGTTAATCTTGTAGAACTATGTCACCCTGTACGGCTGCGTGTTTTCAGTGAATTTGTCCGGGGGTTACCTCAGTGCGACCGGAGCCCGATCAGCAGCCATCGCCAATTCGCCATCGCGTTTCCCATGACGACACCTAGCCACTGTTGTGCGCGCCCCGCCCTGTCTGCAGACACTGCCGCTGCAGGTTTGCAGTGAGAAATCGCTCGTAACCGTCAAACTTCTAGATGCACTGTGAGACAGGCTAGTGGGGCTTATTTGTCTGTATCCATCTGCCAAAGTCGTCCTGTTTCGCTCCTGTTCAGTGCCGTGCTGTCTTCTACTGAATGTTCTGACCAATGACTCGAGGAACGTTGTTTTCCCTTTGGCTCAAGATCTTATAAAGCTTCTTAGCCCTGGCCGAGATATTCTTTCATTAATAATATATTCTCCTTGGATGAAAAATTGTGCCCCTGGTTATGGATAACAGCAGGTATACATCGGGCAGGGGTGTCCAAAACTCTTACAGCTGTAATCTCTGGCATTTTCTTACAGTAACTCAGTTAATGGGTACGTGGTTTTTCTCATTTATAATTTTTATTTTTCCATAATATACTTGAAAGATTTAAAAAGCCTGTGCATGCCCTGTGACATGCCGGCACATTATACCCTGCCATCCGGTTCTCTGGGTAGGCGTCTTGTTGCAGCTTGGTTTCTGTCTCAAAACTGACACCGTACGTCAATAAAATGAAAAACATGCATTGAGCAGATTGTACAAGCAGGGGGCGCAATAGCCCGCATTTACTTAGAATATCGGCGTGTTCTTGTTATCGTGAAGGGTAACTTAAAATCCGTAAAATCTGACGTGTGGTAACGACTTTCAGTTCGTTTTGTTGCCTTGTAACTTAAAGTTAATGTGCTGATGAGGAAGTTGGGTTAGAAATAAGGAATGGATTGGAGTAAAATGATGAAGTGTAATTATCTTGTTTTTTGGTAGAACATGTCACACTTCCAGTACTATTGGACAGTCGTGGTTGTCAGAAAAAAGTCTTTGATTTTCTGTGTTCTTTGATATGTGGCCAAAGCGCTAAGAACCTTCTGATCTCTCTGTTGTCATGACGGCGCTCCACAGGCAAAGCCGTCTGACCCCCGGAGCATCATCCAGCCACGTTACAGGGACTCGCAGAAGGCGGCCGTGAAATTATATTTATATATATAAAAACTAAGGTAAACGCTCAGGGGCTTAGCTCTGGCTTCTGCCATGGAGGTCAGCCTGACCTGGGGCTTGTGGTTAGGCTGTCAGCTTGAATCAGGGATTGAGTTACTTTACCTGCTTCACGAACTTGGAAAAGGTTATCAGGGCCAAGCAGCCCCTGTTTTATATAAGACACTAACAGATATAAGGGCAAACGGAGCCGGAGGACAAGGAACACAAACGGCGGTTTATTGCATCGTCATAACAACCAGCCGCTCTCCTCTAAACCTTGGTAATAACCTGACCTCCAGGATGGGCCTTGGAGAAAAGACCATTTGATATCTGCTTAGTTTGATGTGATTTTAAGCTTAGAAATCTGCTCTGCTTGTTTACCTTCATCATTATTGCTTCACACTGCTTATCACCAGATGCAACTCTACTTTGTAAACATGCTGGTTTTTATATTATTCTTTAATGAAATTAGGAGGGAGAAATGTAATCTCACCCTGAACGTGAGGGTGTGTGAATATGGATGACCAGGTGGAAAGGATGCAAGGCATTTGTAATCTACTTAAGTTGAATTAAGCTGAGCCCTACCTTGCTCGATGACTTCAGCTGCCAACTGTAATATTCTACTTAGAAGTATTATGGACATAACTGTGCTTTGTGCAGAAATTGTCATTGTGAGCATTTGTTGCGTTGAAAAAATGTAGATGTCACGATATGATCATACGCCTATAAAATACAGCAGCCCCCCCACAAATGGGTGACGTGGGCATCTGCGATCTGAGATGACATCCGTAGGTTACACTGCCTTAGTAGTGTCTCTGAATTTATAGAGGTAATTTGATTGCTCAGCCAAAGGTTAGCAGCTGCTGTGCTCGGGGTCAAGTACTCTGAAAGAATGCCATCTCCTTTAGCCACCTCGTATGTTCCCATGCTCTGGCATAATCCATCACTCTTCAGGCACGGTGGCTATTTTTGTGTTATTAAGGATTTTATCACCACAATATCAGCCACTGCTCACTGAGCTTGCAATACCCCATGAAAAGCTGTTGATGTGATATTATGAGAAACTCATAAATTACTTTTCTTGTCATACTTCTCTTCTTGCTGGTGTTACCTCTGTGCTTGTGCTCTTTAATGATTTATTAATGCTTTCACTGAGACTGTCGTGAGGCCCTCTCTCCAGACAGGGCTTGCGGCTTACACTAATGACCTTTTGTGGTTGATCTTTAAGTACGGTAATAATGACTCACTGAATTTTTACAAGAAACCATCTGTGTTCAGCGAGCTAACAGAGCTCTTCCAGGTGACACTTGGTTATTAAAGATTCCCTGCTTTTTTCATGAATTTCATTTTGCTCCACTCTTG